TGTGTTTATATATGGAGGCACTGCCATATCTTGGCGATCGACTAAGCAATCAATCGTGGCTATGTCGTCTAATCATGTTGAGATAATTGCTATTCATGAAGCAAGTTGAGAATATGTATGGTTGAGGTCTATAATACACCTTATTCGAGACAAATGTGGTTTGAAGTGTGACAAACTACCTACAATTTTGTATGAAGACAATGCAGCATGCATAACCCAATTGAAGGGAGGATTCATAAAGGGGATATGACAAAGCAAATTTCACCGGAGTTATTTTTCACGCATGATCTTCAAAAGAATGGTGATATCAATGTGCAACAGATCCGTTCAAGCGATAATATGACTGATTTGTTCACCAAATCTCCACCGACGTCAAACTTCAAGAAACTAGTATACAAGATTGGGATGCGAAGGCTCAAGGATGTGAATTGATGCTCTCATCAGGGGGAGTTAATACGTATTGTACTCTTTTTCCCTTACAAGGTTTTGTCCCGCTGGGTTTTCCTTGCAAGGTTTTTAACGAGGCAACCAAAAGGCGTATTTCTAAACACGTGTACTCTTTTTCCTTCACTAGGATTTTTTTCCATAGGGTTTTTTCCTAATAAGGTTTTAACGAGGCACATTATCTATGGACATCCAAGGGGGAGTATTATAAGAAAAATCAAATTATGGTGGATGTCTACTCTTCCTCCATGATCTTCTCAAATGCTTAATGACATATTCAATGACATATTTTTCTTCACTTTTCATGTCTATATAAATGCCTTGTAATAGATAGGAAAATACACACAATTGAAGAAGAAATACTCTTCGTTCTCTCTATCTCTATTTCTTGTTCATGTTTTACTAAATTGCTTTTATTTCATAACTTGTTCTTGTTCATGTTTTACTAAATTGCTTTTATTTCATAACACATCCATAATAATTTGTACAACTAATCATTCAACATCCTAAATGCAAACTCAAGGACACTAGCTATCTCATTAATTCGCTAGATGAGATATTATAGGTTGTGGAACTGAGGAAGGAATTTCACCGGTCAGGTGATTTTTTTTTTCTTTTATTGTTTAAACCCTCCCAAATTAGGAGGATCTATAATGTTTCCACACTTTTCTTCCAATGTGACTCAAACCCAGGACCTAACGGTCGTAGCTGGAGGTGCTTTTTACCAACTGAGCAAGCCTCACCGGTTGTACCTCGAAAACCAACAATTACTGGTTTCTCGACGTAGGTCCCATTACAACGATGAAATATATTAAGGGTATTATTTGTCAATCATTAAAGACCAAGGGTTAAAGTGAAATTTACTTTTGTACTTGCTACTATGTTACATACTTATAGTAAAAAACTTAATTCTAATCCACTCAGTTCTAAAATAACAGACGTCTGTCTTTACTATTGAAATAGCAGAGCCATACCTATTCTTGATTGGCAACTCGGTAAGATCTTCATTGATTCCATGGTCTCCTCTTCCATGATTGTTAAATAATTTCCCTTCTCATTTAATGTGTTCTTTTAGCTATACTTAATCTATTTTTCCTTTGTATCAATTGGTAATTGTTCGACTCAGTATTCTGTGAATCACCCAGTTGATATTCTACTCTTCAATATTGATTTCCTTCTTTTTGAGTTTTGAAAAAAAGGGAAAAATCACGAAAAAAAGTTATAGGGGAAAACATTAATCAATTAGCAGCTGCTAAAACTGTGTCAAAAGAAGATTTTCAACTTCTTTTGGGTGAATGGTTGCGGAGTTTTTGGATATTTGACATTAATATTCCCTGCGGTTGGGAGGGGTTGGTTGGTGTGGAGATGTTTGATCAAAATCAGCCCAGAAATTTTGGTTTAGTGGACAACTATTCGATAAATATGATTTATTTAGCACATTTGTTTTCAACAACTCATCAATCAGAACTGCTGCTGCTCTCTAGTTCGGGAGTTGATTCAGGAGATTGATGAATACTGGATAAAGGTTACAATTTCGCATTAATTTGCCACATTTCATGTTCGACTATGTAGTTGTGGAGTTCCTATTTAATGAATTAAAGTCTTTACAAGAGTTTAGACCTCTTGGGAGCTTCAAATAGTTTGTCCCAAACCCAATGGCCGGCTTAAAAAGAAGTCATGGTATGATGAGTCCTCTAACACAGATAGATATTTTTGAATTGGAATGAAATGGGGCCGAATAGAGTGGCAAGGATGTAAATGATTCATATAGCCAATAAGTTTGGGATTGAAGTGTAATTGGTTCACAAGAGTTTGATCTCATGGCCTTCAAGCCCAACATCTTGGTGAGATGTGCATTGTGAACACAATTTCAGATCGTTAATTCCATATACTTATAGAACCATTCCTGCAAGGATATTAAATGAAAATGGTATTAGGCAAGTTTACACGGTTATGGTGTTTAGCGTGGTTCTGAGCTCATTCATTACATTTCAGCTGCTCTCTAGTTAAAACTTAAAAGTTGAACCTGTAGTTTTGTGGGTACCGATAAAGTTGAGTTACATTAATCCCTCTGCCGGAAAAGTTAATGTGCCATCTTGTGCTCAACTTTTAAGTTGTATCTCTATTTGTCAATTGCAACTGGTAACTAACTGATCGAGAATAGAACTTCATGTCATGAATTCTTACTTATAAAGCCTTTCTAAGAAGTATATCTAACAGAATTGTTATTTGGAATTTGGTTCCAAATTTCTATACATTTTGGAACATAAATAATATGACCTTTACTAAATGATGTAGTGCAACTTGAATGGTGATTGTTCATAGATCATAATGGAGATATTTTAGTTTTTTCCCCCTAAAACGCCAATGTAAGCTTGTAGGTTTTACAATGCAGGAATTTCTAATCTAAAGTGTTTGAGCTGTCATCGGAAGAGGGTATTGGAATTTGCAACACTTCAGTCTAATTTTTTTCAAGTGTGTCTTGATTTTCTTCTGTATTCATGTACAGTTACTGATTTATTAGTAACGACTGATATGCCAAATATTCCAGAACCCCTAAATTTTCTGAAAGTTCAAGCTATTTCATCGAAGAAAACAAGAAATGGATCAAGCTCTGGATTCATATAGGGGGCAAATTGAAGCTCTAATGCGTGCAATGTCCGTAGCAAAAATCATAAGAGAAGATAAGGATCCTTGTACGATTGAAGAGGTACTAAACCATGAATCCTAGCCCTTCCAGTTTTTTTTACCTATCCTTATTAGTTTCCTTGTGCTTCTTAGGGTCTCTATTTAGGGTCCTTTGGAGCTGCCAACAATAAAGATGCACTCAAAAGCTTGAATATAACTCATATTTTGACGATTGCCAGAGATTTAAGTCCGTCTTATCCAAATGAGTTTGTGTACAAAGTCCTTACTGGTAGGAAGTCTCTAACTTTGTTTGATATAGCTGACTTGCTTTGGATATGTCTTGAATATATGCACGTGATGAGAAAATCTGCATCTCCTTTTTATATAAGTCAATGACTTATGCGCTATCCATCTCTTACTGTCACGACCCAAAATATCACCCGTCGTGATGACGCCTATCTCAATACTAGGCAAGCCGACATCATCAATAACCCACAATATCTTTTAAATAAGGAAAACATCATAATTAAGTTTAAGAGAAAATCCCACAATTACTAGGTAAAACATATTCCCAAAACCCGGTGTCACTGAGTACATGAGTATCTATACATTACAAGTCTGGAAAACACGGTCTATAATAGTCTAAGACCAAATACAGTAAACAAGGAGATAGGGAAGGAGAGACAGGGTATGCGAAACATGGCAGCTACCTCTGAATCTCCGGAAAATTAACTGTGTGAAAGAATCAACACCCCTGTGTACGGGATCACCTGGATCTGCACATGAAGTGTATGGTGTAGTATGAGTACAACCAACTCATCAAGTAACAATAATAAATAAAGAACTGAAAGTAGTGACAAGCTTCTCAGCTAAGTCCAAATACAGTACTTTTCAACAGAAAAGGGTAGGCATGCTCTCAAGTTCAACATTTAACATTTCACAGTAATTTCATATCAAATATGACTGAAACAGAAAATAATGTTTTTTCAAAATTTCCAAAACAGTGATATATGACAGCTGAAATGCAGCAATTAATGAAATCAATGCATCCTCTCAGAGCAACAGTCACTCAGTCCTCCCATTCACTCCAACCTCACAGTCACTCTTTGCTCACAGTCACTCATTCCTCACAGTCACTCGGCACTCGCACTCAGTAGGTACCTGCACTCACTGGGGGTGTGTACAGACTCCGGAGGGGCTCCTTCAGCCTAAGCGCTATAACAAGCCAATCATGGCATAAATCAATGAAACATGCTGCGACATGCAACCCGATCCCATAAATATCCTCACAACTAGGCCCTCGGCCTCACTCAGTCATCAACCTCTCCAATCTCTCGGGCTCAAGATGTCATGAAAATCAGCCCAAAAATGATAATATGATGTATCAATAAATAACAACAGAGACTGAGATATGATATGAAATGAATGAACATGACTGGGTGTGAAATTACAATTTGAACATATAATTCAACCACAGAAATGACCCCAATGGGTACCAATAATAACATCATATGTCTAAGCATGATTTTTTAATACGAGTGTCAGCTCAATTTTCTCTAACACGTAGAGAATGTACGGATATCAACAGATAATTCAACTACACAATTCCATGGAATTTGACCAAGTCATAATTCCTACGGTGCACGCCCACACGCCCGTCACCTAGCATGTGCTCACCTCAAAACCAATCACATAACACATAATCCAGGGTTTCATACCCTCAGGACCAAATTTAGAACTGTTACTTACCTCAAACCGTGTAATTCTTTATTCCGCTATGCCCTTGCCACGAGAATTGGTCTCCGAAAGCCTCGTATCTAGCCACAATTAATTCGATTCGGTCAATACCAATTATTATAGTTAATTCCATAAGGAAATACTAATTTTTTCAATAAAATCAGAAATTTAACTCAAAAATCGCCCGTGGGCCCCACGTCTCGGAACTCGACAAAAGTTACAAAATATGAACGCCCATCTAACCACGAGTCCAACCATACAAATTTCACCAAATTCCGGCATCAACTCGACCCTCAAATCTTCAATTAAAGTCTTTGAAGATTTCTACCATTTTCAACCCAATCTTTACCCATTTGAACCCAACAATCTTTCCATAAATCTTATTGATACGTATAAATAATACTCTTACACCCAAGAATCATACTCTTAATCACCCATCTTTACCCAAACTCGAAATTGAAGACTAGGGGTTAAAACCTTATCTCTTGGGTGAAGATCTTGTGATATTTCCTTGTTGGAGCTTGAACAAGATCTTGATGAACAAAGCACTTGAGCTTTTTACTCTCTCTAGAACACTCTCACTTTTCTCTAAAAATGTCGGATTTTTGCTCCAAAATGAGCTTCAAGGGCTATAAATTGAAGTTGGGTCGGGTAAAAAATTAGAAAGAATTGAAATCCCGACGCAGATTTGCGATCACATAACACGTATGCGATCCGCAAACTGACCGCATAATTGAAGCTCCAAAACGAGAGTCGCCTGGATAGGTCTGCGGTGATTATGCGGCCCGCATACCTGTTCTGCGGTCGCATAATGCACCGCAGAACAGGTCTGCGGTCGCATAATGCACCGCAGATTTTCTCAAATCTTGCCTCGCACCTGCATCACTCTGCGGCCATTATGCGGTCCGCAGAGTGATTCTGCGACCGCATAGTGGGCCGCAGAAATGTCCTCTTCTGCCGAAATTTTCCTTTATTCCCGAGTGCATTGTTCAACCCAAAGAAATTTCTATAACCTTTGTACTAATTGATCTACCTCGGCACCACAAAACCTTACTTTCCTTAGCAAAAATTCTCCGGGGTTGTTACACATAAGTCAACATCCGGTCAACATTTTCAACTTAAATTCTAAACCTTGGAACTAAGTGTTCCGAATCATTTCAAAACCTCACCGGACCCGAACCAATTACCCCCGGCAAGTCACATAACAAATGTAAAGCATAAATTGAACAGTAAACGGGGGAACGAGATTGTAATATTCAAAACGACCGACCGGGTCGTTACACTTACGTGGTCTGTTATGTAAAAATATTCAGCAACCACTATACTAAGAAATTAGAAAACAGGAAATACCATACCACACCCTCAGTTGTCCACACTAGTGTTGCTGCTACACTGTGTTTTCCTTCATGTTACCTGTCTTTTGTTTTTGTTTGTAGTGGTCCTACATACAACAACAACAACATACCCACTGAGATCCCACAAGTGGGGTTTGGGGAGGGTGATGTCTACGCAAACCTTACCCTTAGCTTGTGTGAGGTAGAGAGGTTGTTTCCAATAGACCCTCGGCCCAAGAAAAGCGTTTTCAAAAGAGGGTTGAAAAATACAAGAGTAAAAAAGTTATGATGAAAATGCTGAAAAAAGAGAAGTATTAGCAGAAAAAATAGTAAAGATAATCAAAGTAAAAGAAACAACAGTAGTAAATAAATTGAAGAATAAGATAATAACAAAATAATAATAATGATACGTAGTGGTCCTACATAATGAGTAAGAAAAGATTTCTGCTTAACTATCTAATTTGGAGAAGCAAAGAACTCTTGTATAGCAACATAAAGTACAACTTTTCCTACCAGAGCCTTTTTGGGACTATGTCTTTTTACCTCCCATACCAACTGCAGTGTAAAATTTCTTCCTTATGATAATGTCTAATTATAATTTTTATGCTTCACCTTCATTTCATCTACCTAGTAAAGATTAGAACTATCCAATTTACCTTATCAAAAAATAAAATAAAATTATAACTTCTTAATTCAGTAAAGATAAACTGAGGCCTTCTGCCTCCATGTTTTCTTAAAAATTCTCTTTCAATGAGATTGATGAATGATTTATTTGTATTTTCAACTTTTTGCAAATTTGAGACAGTTCACGACAGAGATGATGTAAATATTTCAAATTACTTTGAGGAATGCTTCGATTTCATTGAAAAAGCAAAAGGAAAAATTGAAGAAGCAAAAGGACAGGGTGGCGGTGTGTTGGTGCATTGCTTTGCAGGCAAATCCAGAAGGTGATTTCGTGCATCTTTGCCTGGATCAAAATCATGGTTTCATATATGGGAAAACAATAAAAAAGAGTGGTGTGTAAAACTATACTGGCTCTTAATAAATTTGTACAAGATTTTAAGCCAAAGTAGCTGCTCTCCAGCTTGCTTTGCTACATATAACTAAAAGAAAATTTCATGACTAATCCTAGAAGGTCACGAATAGAAACCTTGATATTCCATCTTCAGCTTGATACTGTAACTAATGCGGTATTATGGAGCTAGCTTCCAACCACATCTTTCCGTAGATCTATGTTGCTCGGACTCTCCGAAAATTTTGCCGGGTGCGTGTCGGATACTCCAAAAATAGTGTATTTTTGGAGGATCTGATACTGGTGCGGCATCATTTTGGAGAGTCCGCGCAACATAGCCGTAGATATTTGTATTTTTATTTTTGTTGCTTTGAGAAAGGGGTGGGTTGGACGACATTTGTCCTGGATCAGCAAAGTGCCTATGATATTTTTTCTTCTTTTTTTGACGTTTGCGTTCACTCTGAAGACCAAAATCTTTAACCTGGATATGCAAGTTTTTCCATGTTCCTTGCGTCTTTCATGTTCTGCTTTGCAAAACTAATGTACAGGTGCAATTCTTCCAAGTTAAAATGTTGAAAGAATGAACTGTTATCATCAATAGCTTAATGATACACTCATTTATGTTTCTCAATTTCATGACTAATCCTAGTAGGTCAAGAATAGAAACCTTGATATTCCATCTTCAGCTTGATACTGAAACTAATGCAGTATTATGGAGCTAGCTTCCAACCACATCTTTCCGTAGATATTTGTATTTTTATTTTTGTTGCTTTGAGAAGGGGGTGGGTTGGACGACATTCGTCCTGGATCAGGAAAGTGCCTATGATGTTTTTTTTCTTCTTTTTTTTGACGTTTGCATTCACACTGAAGACCAAAATGTTTAACCTGGATATGCAGGTTTCTCCATGTTCCTTGCGTCTTTTATGTTGTGCTTTGCAAAATTAATGTACAGGTGTAATTCTTCCAAGTTAAAACGTTGAAAGAATGACCTGTTATCGTCAATATCTTAATGATACGCTCATTTATGTTTCTTTTGATGAATTTTGGAAGGGTATCTGTGTAGCGTTGTTTCTTTGTTGTAGGTGAGACACTCCGGTTACTTTATCATCTGATCTCTATGAAATCCCTCGTAGCAATAGTAATTTTATCATCATGTCATGCAATACCTTCAGCTTGACTTCTTTAGTACAAGTACAAACCAAAAACGTTTATGTGGTTTTCTTGTTTTGAATTTGGTTACTTGGTTAAATTTTAATATGAAACCTTTTTACCCGTATGTCTTCCTATTCATATTCAGCAATCTGCTTCTTGCCCTCTTTTAGTTGATTTTATGTGGCCTGGATCTTGGGTTGGCTTCAGTAAATTGTTCGTCTTTATAAGACTTGAATCAGCTAGCTCTTTATAGTATAACATTTATGTCGTATTAAACTTACCTATTTCCTTCTTATAATATACCATACCCTTTAATCGACATCATGAACACCAGTGAAAATGGAAATAAGAAAGAACTTTCTAGAACTTAAAATTGTCTTGTTTGCTTTTCCTGGTGTTCCTTTTTGTATAGTGAGATCACTTTTTTCTTCAGTAGATGTATTAATTATCCAATATTTTGTCAAGTAGTAACAATTGACAACAACTAGTTTGCTGTTTCTCAGTTCTCATTATCAACAATGTGAAGCGGTGATAAGAGAAAGTCTCATATGATTTCTTTTGTTCTATGCTTTTGCAGTGCAACCATAGTCATCGCTTATCTGATGAAAAAGCATGGTATGAGCCTGTCTGAAGCTTTTCAGCTTGTTAAGAGTAAAAGACCAGTTATTTCTCCCAATGCTGGTTTTATGATACAGCTGCAAAATTATGATAAAGCCCTTAAAGGTACAGCTTTTTGTTCATTTGGTAGTTTTACTCGCATGATCTAAGGTTAACAAGTTTTAGTTATCTCAGTACTGTGATGCCATTATCATGTTGCATCTGTGATGATTGGTGATGAAAAATGATGATTAGCTATGTTTTTTTGAGAATGGTAACATGTATATATATGTCAAAGGAAGAAGGATTAGCTATGTTAAAAACTTCTGAATTATGTTAAATTGTCATTTATATGGTTGTGAACTGAAATCAAAATACAGCCGGCAGATTCATCAAAACCACAGAAAGAAAAAGAAACAAAGTACAGCCGGCAGTTGCCTAGATTGTACCTAGCAAAACAATGTTGCGTTGTTCCAATTCAACAACCACGATTTTTCCAGACAATCAAATAAACTCCCCAGTGAAACAACCGGTGCTAGTTACTTTTGTTCTGTGAAATCATTAGCTCGATCCAATAATAATAAATCTCCTAAATCTAAGGCATGCGTCATGAGTCACATGTACATGCAGCCTTTTCTGGGGTTCATACAAGAAGGAATGAGTTGGCCCACAGTTCATAGTTCGCTGCTTAACCAAATTCAAATGTGCTGTACTTCCTATATACCCTAGATAACCCTGTTAATTTCCGTTGCCACCATCGCAATCAATCTCAACCCCTCCAGTAAATTGATCCCTCAGGTCAAACTTGTCAGTACCTTAATGAATCATGTGACTTTGTAAAGCCCTCATCTTCTTGCTGATGTATTACATAGTAGTTTTGTGAAATCTCATGTTGCTGTAGCAGGCATATAGATTTTTGCTAGGAGATTCTTTCATCACAACAATCTATTACAGTCTCTTGAAATATATCTTCGAGTTCAACCTTCGCCATATTTTCTTTATTTGACAATCTTTCTGTCTGTTCCAAAGAAATGGTGAAGGGTTGGTCTTAAGCTGCTCATGTTCCTCCACATTCGTGAGATACTTCGAAGCACATTCTCCCATGAGCTAAAATTGCTATTTGTGGTTTTGTGTTTTTTTTTTTGATAACTGTGGTGTCTGGCCCATCTTGCTCGCACCTCGACTAATACTACAGGGTACCTTCTATCTCCCACCAGCACATAACCGGGCAACTCTCTCCACCAAGGCCTGTAAGCTAGTTAGTTATTGGTATTGTGAATATTGGTTATGATGGACCTATTTCCTGGGACTACGATCACGCTTTTTGCAGATATATTTGGTTTGGTTAATCCCCTACTTGACGACACAAGGGTGAAATCTTTGGAGTTGACAAGATCTAGGCATTCTACCTTCTCGTTCGAAAGAATGGACATTCTTCATGCTACATGAGTTTGCTTGCCTAAAGAAGTAGCAGATAACTTGTCTTCTAGGTATAAGTAGGTTGAACGCTGTAGTAATTCTGCCCAATGGAGTGAAGGGACAAATCTACAGTTCTGGTCTTGAATGTTATGTGATTAGGTAAACAGTTATTCTGTGGCTAACTTTTTTTTTTTTTTATGTGGTGAAGAAAAAATATTATTAATCACCACGAACATAATACAATTTGAAACTCCTCAGGACTTGCAAATCTAGGTATACCTACCAGGTAGGGCTACCTAAAAGCCTTCGCAAGTTGCAAAATTACTATCTGTACATTAAAGTATCCTATCTGTATAAATTTTCTATCCATTCTCTATCCTATTACTCTGCCTTTTATCCAAAATCGTATGCATACGTACCTTGCACTCCTATTTGATCTGTTCATAGACTGTCTTAGGTCGAGGGACCTTGTGATGCCATAAGGCTGCATTCCTAGCCTTCCATATATTATAGATCAGTGCAGTCAGGATGGCCATAGCAGCAGTTCTGCACCATTTTCGTTTGACCAGTCTTGCCACCCTGCGCAATATCACGATCTGTTTATTGTATACCTATCCTCATCAAATTTAGTATTTCCTGCAGACAAGCTCTCGAGAATTGATACTCAAAGAACAAGCGTATCACAGATTCTGTGTTTCCACCACATATCAGGCAATTACTATCTTGACTGATCCCTAGTCGAAGCAATCTTTTGTACATTGCTAACTAACAGACAAAACTATGATTTGGGATATTTACCTTATTTCCATATCCATCTTCCTCCAAGCCAGTCCTCCAGACATCCCTTCCTCTATTTGTACTCACTACTGATTGAGTACCTCCTATTCTGTGTAAGCCACCCATTATTCACATATTCTGCAGCAAACTTGTCTTTGATGGAGCAGAGTATCTTCCAATACCAACCACAGTCCCGTGGATGAGAGTATTGCCACCAAGCTCTCCCTTTTATGTATATATGATTAACCTATTTGACTCATAGATTGTTAGTCTTTTGTGCTATATTCAAACATATTTAGCCTCAGCAGCCTCATTCCAGATTATGCAGTCAATGATTCCCAGTCCACCTTCCCTCTTTAAGTCTACAAACCAAGTCCCATGCCACTAGGGGGGCTCTGTTAATAACTGTCTTACCATCCCATAGGAAATTTCCATCCTTCAAAACACTCCTAGGAAGTATGAAATTCAAGACCAGTATCTGTGGATATGCAGTAGCTGACCAGCTGCACTCTTCCTGCATAAGGTGTCTGGATCCCCAGCCTCACTCTTGTTGTAAGATTATCAATTAGCATCTCACAATCAATCATAGAGATCTTCCTTGATGATATTGGTATAACAGGATACTTAAAAGGTAGTGATCGTTTTTGGTACACTGTCAGTTCACATAAGTCTACCACACAGTGAGGCTCCATATTGGCACTGGAGATGTTAGATTTATCTGCATTAGTGTTCATACAATATGCATTTGAAAAAGTTCTCAGCCCCCTCAGCATTAGCATCAGAGACTGAAAATCTCCTTTACAGAACATCGGTACGTCATCTGCAAACCATAGGTGATTTAGATTTTGTCCCCTGTACCATGATTCTGCAAACCATACCCAATTCCTTCCTCGCCTGCTACCATGATCATTATCCTTGTGAAGTATTCCGTGCATATTACAAACAACAAAGAAGAAATTGGATTACCCTGTCTTAGATCCCTCTTCCTTTTAATGCAAACCATACAATCCACCATTTAAAGATATGGTGTACTTTATAGTTGAGATACATGCCATAGTATCTCCTCCACAAATCCCCATCCAACTGAGTCATAGGCTTTCTTGAGATCACTTTTGATCAAACAACGTTTTTTAATCTGCACATATTCAACATTTTCTATTGGAAGTTTCTCTCTCATTTTCTTGAATTCATTAGTTCATTTGTTAGTTGGGCTTGCAAATTCATCATTTTACTATGTTTTCGGTTCATTTTATTTCTTGCCGTCTTTTCAAAATGCAGATCTGACGACTCCAAATGTAGATGAGGAAACTCGGTCATTACTCTCCTAGTCTGATGCAGTTTGATCCATTCTGTAGCCGCCATTAAAGTTACGCTGTGATGAGAAGTACACAGCGCGATATCTTGTTCATTGAATTTAATAGTAAGAATTGTTTGATAAACAATGATAATGAATTGATAATTCCATTGAGAAAGCTACTCTGCCTAGGCAGACTGTTTGAAGATATTCTCACCATGGCGAATTTTAAATTTTATTTATGTTAGTATATATTTCTTTCATATTCTCTATTTATTTTGTTCAGGAATAGTCTTTTTCTTAAAATATAAAGGTCAACTTCTTTTAATGCATACGAACAGCACTTGCTCCCATTCTAGTTTTTGCCCCAAAAAAGGAAGATCTAATGATACAAATATTAATATTAAATTCTATTCTTTTCAACCAGCCAAGTCATTCTACAACGATATACGAAACGGAGCAATTGGTAAACCCCCCCCCCCCCCCC